CCCTGATGACGGAATTTTGGGAAGTTCTCCTATCGGTTCCAGGATGAAAGCTATGAGCTCGTCCGTGTCATTAAATTGACCTATCTGCTCTGGTCCGTTACGCAGGTCTGCCATCGGTGTAATACCAAAACTTCGCCAAAAATAACATCCTAGAATAGGTTTCGAGATCTACTACTACTGTTGGTACCACCCTTGTGATGCTTTTGTAGGGTTGAGGTACCCTAAGCATTTATATTCAGTGTTGGCGGCTGTGCATACTCTCAATCTGGTCGGATGAAGTCGCAAACCATACTTCTCCGATAACTCAAGATAATTCACAACACTTATCCCGGCACCTGTGTTTAATAGAGCTGTTAGTTCTGTGTCGAAAACGTTCACACGTAGATAGGGACATCGTCTTGTCTGAATTTTGATGGTATGAATGCGGTCGATAGGGTCAAAATGTGGTGTTGCTTCGGGAACTTTGTTGTCTTCTGGAATGTTCAGGTTCCCTGACGTACATCCCCTTAATTGTTTCTCTGGTTCTGCCTACCTGGTCCGCAGTAAAAGATTCACCTCTGTGTTGTTTCCGCTCGTGTATCCGTTGTCGAATTCCTTGATCCTGATTTGGATTCCCGAATCGAAACCTGATTTTCTCCTCGAAGTCATCTCAATCCTCGAATTCGTCCACGTATGTAAAGAACCAGTCCGAGGCCTGACCTTCCAGAATTATGTGTAAACTCCGCTGAGAAACACCTTCTTGTTCTGCTATCTTCTTCAACTTCTATTTTCTATTGATGCTGTTCTGTTGTCCCCGGAAAAGGAGAGCTTCCAGTGCTCAATCCTTCGAGATTGCTGAAAATTCCTACCCCTATGTCCATCAGATGTAATGGAAGTTCTTGCACTACATCGGTCACCGCCTGTTTCTGAACCGTTCGTCATCTCGTTGATGCCGGTTCCGTTGGCTGCCAGTTCCTTTATGCCTGCCGCCTCCGATATTCATCACCCTGAAGTCCTCGGTTGGTTCGCTGCGGTTCTCCGTATTCGCTACTGGATTCGTCTATTGTATATTACTGGTCTCGTTTTGACCTAGAACTCTTGCCTCCTCGAGTATCCTACCGTCTACTACTCCGTGTACTATATCTATTGCAATTTTGATCCACCGTTTCAAACTCACTACTGTCGTTCTCCGTATCAACGTCTCTAGCTGGCATCTTCCTAGTTCACTTAACCTGTTCCGTGCGTTTCCGATCTTCCGATTCCTTCTGATGGTCGTGGCTACCCTGGGGTTTCAGTTTTTGTAGAATGGTCTCATCTCTTCGTATGGTACTCTCTGCTGGGTATCCTTCTTACCGTTTGAGGGTACGTCCCAAGTAACAATTCAAGCTGAACAGTGAGAACAGAAGCTGATTATTGGTTGATTTAAGGTGTACAAAGCTGATTAAAAGCAGGCTGAATATATAATTGATTAGTAGTTGATGAAGCTAATTGCATCCCCATAATTCAACCTCAATAAGTTAGCTGATCTAAGGATTGAACAAGCCTTATTTAAGCTTAACACTACTACACAAATCAGCAATGCACTACAAATATTTTGATAGCCTGATTTGTTAAATGTAGTCAGTGTAACTCGTTGCATTTCCGGCATTTTAGTTCTTCTACATTCACTGCCTACCTTTCTAATCCCAAGCAACGGCAGCAGTAGAGACAAGGTAGAGGAGCTTTTTATGAATCGCCCCAGGTAGAAGTGGGTTGCGACGACGTTGGAAGCATTAACATTTATATTTCTGTGTTTACAATTCTGCATTGCTGTATAATACTCTTCCGGTTGCTGTTATTCAACTTAAATTTGACGTGTTTCAAGTTAATGATCATACCTCTTTCCACACATATGCCTAAGTGGTCCAGTAGGTATGATTGATGCCTGTGAATCAGTGACTGCCGGTTCGAATCCCGAAATGCAAAAGTAATTTTTAGACTTATAATAACAATATGAATATGTAAATCCAATTAGTTAGTCAGCACCTTGTTGCAGTCCCATAAAAATATATAAGGTATGAAGTGGTATTAAATTATTTTATTCTTAATAAAACTAGAAGGCTGAACAAGGGTTGGAGAAGACTGTTATTGAATGCCTTAAAAAGCTTATAATTTATATTACTGTTAAGCTTTTGGCTGATTAAAATCACCAGATTTAGATGTTTAAAAGCTGAACAAAGGTTAACGTGGTCTATGTACAACAATTATTCAAACTAAGGCTGAACTAAAATCGATTGAACAACACTTGTTAAGCATCAAATTGTTACCTGGGGTCCTGTTTATGTTGTGATGCCGGATTTTTCGGAATTGCACCCATTCGTTCCTTCGTACTGATTTGACGTATTTCCATCTCCAGCTGCACCTACATCGTCACCTGAGGGTTTGTCGGTCAAACTCCATAAAGTCTCCTTAATCGATTTAAGGAGTTCTTTGCGATGAAGCTCCATTTCTTTGTCAGCCGTCTCCCCCCTTTTAACCCGAAGGTAATAATGCCTTAACCGGGACGCTAACGACGGATCTTCTTTCTCCTCGAGTGCCTGTTGAATTTGTTGAACACGATTCACGATCATGTCAACCTCCTGCTCAAATTTGTACGGAGGTCTGTACTCCCTTCTCTCTTTCTGATCTGTTTGAAACAGCCTACACAGCAACCGAAGTTTTGTGTAATCATCCTTTCCAATCTCCTCTGAATGATTTCGCAACTTAAGCTCATAATTAATTTCAGCGTGTGAATGCTGCATTTTGTAAATTTACGGACTTTCTCTTGATCGGCCTCAAAAGCTTTCAGTTCAGCTGCCGATCAAAAGTTCCAGCACGGCGTTTGATTTGAACCTTCCGGGCCACACTCTTGCGATCACGGAACCGCTTGAAAACATCTCTCAGGCCAATTTTCAACTTTTTCGCGATATTTCGAATTGACCACGTCGGGCTTTCGGGCGCAGGATCAATTTTCTTTTCTCGTTTCCATCTAGTACGACTTTTTTAATACTGCACGTCTCGAGACGAAACTTTCACCACTGAACACGTGTACTTTCAAAACAAATCGCTGTCAAAACATTCCAAATCCGACCACTAGAGGCGCTGATATAGAATAAATAAAGTGTCCGGATTCCATGTGAACCAGACTTTAATCGCATTATTTTCCTCCCTTTGCTTGCTGAGTGCTGGCGTTCCACCTCCACGAGAACCCTGCTGTAGCGAATGAGAACGACCCAAATTTGAGTTTAGTTCACTCAAAATCGCCAAAAGTGCAGGAACTCAGCGATGAGTAAATTTGTCCCATGGTTTCCTGTGGAAAACCTACAAAATCTGCCGAAAAATGAGAAAATTGACAAAGTAGTACCAATAGACTGAGTGAATCCAATCTTTGCTTTTCTCAAATTCGGGATTTTTCCCTGGAAAATCCTGGAAAAACCTGGGAAAACATGAGCAAATTGACTGCACTACTGCTGAGTTCCTGCACTTTTGGCGATTATGAGTGAATTAAGCTCAAATTTGGATCGTTCTAATTCGCCGTGTAGAGCATGACAGCGAATTTCCGCTACTTGGATTTATTATAAACTCCCCGTTACATTTTGTAATTTTTATATGAAATGGAGCACTTAATTCAATTACAGAAAATAGGAGTCACTCAACAGTAACAGTTACCTGGGAAGGGAATAACTCACAAGTATAGTTCTGGACCCACTAGCCCATAGCCAAACAAAACACAAATTGCGTATCATCTATTACAACTAACCAGACAAGTCCTACCGGTACTTGAATCCAGAGCGCCGGAAAACGTGCAAGATCTCGCTTCACTCGGGGCACACGTCTCTGTTCCGTGTCGAGTTGACTGCTAGTAGCGCACGTTACAATTTATATTACTACGCAAATATTTACCCATCGCCACTTAGTACTGTATTTAATTAAAGTCGGGAGCCTGCTTTCTGCAGCGCAGGCAATAAAACTTACAATGTACGCGCACGGCCTTACGTAAGCACACGTTCTCATGCAGTAACGAGGAACCATCAGGCTAAACATTACTTATCACACAGCAACGACTTTTACATGATTACAGTCAATTGTAACGACAATTTGATAGTACGGTCATCGACGAACTGACGCGACAGCTCATACAACATACACGGCCAATGAGATCAATGCAAATTTGAGTTCAGTTTACTCATAAATCGCAAAAAGTGCACGAACTCAGCGATGAGTGAATTTGCTTCATGTTCTTCCAGGAAAATAATCCCGAATACGAGAAAAGTAAAGATTGCGTTCTCTCAGTTTATTGGTACTACTCCAAGACTTAGTAAAATTTTCGTCAATTTTCCTCATTTTCCGGAAGATTTTTGAGGAAATCATGAGGTAAATTACTCATCGCTGAGTTCCTGCACTTTTTGCGATTTATGAGTAAACTGAACTCAAATTTGGGCTGATCCAATCCTTTCCCAAGATGCTATATTTAAAATACGTTAAACACTACCGCTATCTATTCATCCGATCGCGTCGCATCATGAGCAAGGACACGAACACACGTAGAATTTATGTTGCCTTGGTTTGCGTCTCACCTCGTTTGACAGATTCATTCATTTGCCTCTAACTTTTTTTATAAACAGAATTCCGTAAAATGATGCATGCAGGCTTTCGTAGCGACCAGAACCCACCATTGTTTTTTAGTGAATGTAAATTACATTCACTGAAAAACAATAACAAGTTCTGCCCGCTCTAGTTCGTCATGCATAAGAGATACAAATTTGAGTAATTGACAAAAGTTGTAGCTAATATAAAAACCTAGAAAAGCCTCATACACCATTTTACGGAATTCTATTTATGAATAAAGTTAGTACAAATGAATGTAAATGATTTTCCATGCCTTCCATTTGACAAATACAATTGTGGTCAAACGAAATACTCCATGTGGCATGTCGGTTCGTCGGTTGACGGTGTGCGCTGACTAGTACTGATCCATGATTTTCCCGCCTTTATTTCCGCAGACCGATCTCTACGGCCAGAATCTGTTCAACATGGTCCATCCGGATGATCAGAATTTGCTCAAACAGCAGCTGGTCCCTAGCAACATAGTGAATCTGTTCGATTCGACTGGCGTGCCGTCGACGTCAGGTCGGTCCTCCACATCAGCATCGGCGGCGACCCCCAGCGCGGACGGGAGCAGCGAAGATCAGCAGCGGAGATCCCAGGAGGAGGAGGACGAAATCGATCGCAAGCTGCGACAGGATCGGCGGAAATTTTCTTTGAGGTAGGCATTGGCTGAAGTTTTGATTGAAAATTGGAATGTTGATTGATCGAGTATGATTCTAGACTTGCCCGAGCGGGACCGCGATCGGAGCCAACGGCATATGAACTAGTCACGATTGATGGTTGCTTCCGGAGGGCGGATTCCGCTCCACGTGGTGAACGACCGAGTGGTCCCTCCGGACTGCAGCTACTGCGAAGAGCGCGGGGCCGGGACGACGGGATTTCACTACATAGCATTAATGGGAATGATATTGTAAGTACCTGCGATTACGAGGTTTTGTCTTAGATTAACGAATCCTTTCCACAAAAACAGGTGCTAGTTGCAATGGTACGCGTGCAAAAGGTCCCAACCATCTGTGATCGTTTGATTGAGGCTTGCAGGTATGAGTACAAAACGCGTCATCTTATTGACGGAAGGATAGTGCAATGTGACCATCGGATATCGGTCGTGGCGGGATACCTGACTACGGAGGTCTCCGGACTGTCGCCATTCACCTTCATGCACAAGGACGACGTCCGGTGGGTCATCGTGGCCCTACGGCAAAGTAAGTTCCCTTCGAAAAAACGCAATCTACCGTAAAACACCCACAACACAATCATCTACTTTCAATTTCAGTGTACGACTACAGTCAAAACTATGGCGAATCCTGTTACCGGTTGATGACCCGGACCGGAGACTTTGTCTACCTGAAGACCCGCGGTTACCTGGAAGTGGATGACGCTTCCAAAAAAGTGCAATCCTTTGTCTGCATCAACACCCTAGTCACGGACGACGAAGGCCGGCAGCTTGTGCGGGAAATGAAACGCAAATTTTCCGTCATCGTGGAGCAGGAAGAACTGCCCGACGAAAGCGACGAACCGGCCGTGGAAAATCAGAAGCAAATCGAACGAGCCGTACGGAATCTGCTAACCAATCTACACTCAGAAGACGACGAACCGGTTGAACATTCAGCAATTCCATCCATCGCATCGCATGATTCGGATGCACCCGGAAACTCGCAGCTCGCCATAATTGCACCAAGTTCGAAGGAGGTCAAGTCGGCCATCGTCAAGAGCATGAACGTGATTGCAATAGCTTCGAAGAAGCTGTCCAACGGAAGTAATTCCCCGTTGAGGGATTCTGGATCCAGTCCCAAACCGAGGAACCACTCCAGCAGTTCACCAGGGAACATCACAAGTGCCGCCGCCATGCAACGTCCTTCCGTACTACAGAAAGCCCAAAGTCCCGCCTCGGAATCCCGAGTGCCTCCCTTGCACGGCTCCGATCATGGTTTCATTCAGCCCTTCTCTCCGGCCGGCAGCAGCAGCAGTAGCAGTAGCAGCGGTTCCGTTTTCTCTCCCGCATCACATTTCCAGCGGAACAGTCGAAGTCCGTTCGGTGGCAGCATTCCGCCGACTTCACCGCCCGCCATTGCTGCAGCTCCATCGCCGTCCGGTTCGCGGATCGTTGATAACTCGGCAAACAGTCATGTGCGGTCTACCAGCGTGCTGAAGCGAACCTACAGCAACAGCAGCATTAGCACTTCCGATGACACTACCGTCGGTCATACGGCCGATTACCTAGTGCTCAAACGATCCAAAGCTAGTCCCCCCGGTCTGGATGTCTGTATGAACAGGCTGGCCAATCCGGCAACAGGTAAGCAGCACCCGGTGGGATCTTTGGCGGACCTAGGTTCTAAGAAATTATGTCTTTGTAGATCTCATTACTATGTTGCCCGATGCGATTCACGCGGTCGATCAGTCGTTGCTGACGATAGAGAGCGAGACGGCCATTATTCGGGGGCAGGTCAGCGGTTACGAGGACTTGCACAGCTCGCAGCAACGGTTGGACAGGATAGCGGTGAGTTGAATGATTTGTGTTTGATATTTCCAACGGAAATCTCCCCACGGTGCAGGATAGATTTTGTTTTGGTGTGGTTAGCTGCGTGCACGTTGAGTAGATAGAATGGAGATTGATGACGATTCGACATTGGCAAACTACGCAAAGGGAGAGTGTCGCTACTTGGTAGCAAACTACTCATGATGGGAGGAGTCTGTGTAGCTTACCGGCGTGTGCAAAAAGAAAGGCAATCAAAATTTAATTTTGTGATTGTTTTCCAAACACAGACATCGTGATTATGCATTGCAGCATTCTCTGTATATTGCTATTGGTACAGTAAGTGCTTCAGTGATTACACTCCGCGTTGGATAGAGTCCATATTCGAAGTGAATCAAGTGTTTATTGAGAACTTCTGTAAAAATCTTCAAAATGTCTCAACACATGGCTGCTAAATATCTCCGCGGTTATCGGAAGTTGCTGAACGCGTTCGATTGTGTCGAGCCAACAAGAAAGCGGCCAAAGTTAATCCTAATTTTAGGATTTTTTCAATAACCGCCCCATTTCAAAAAATTGAATAATGAATTGTTCATTTTGGAGTTAAGTTTCCAAACCATTTATTTCGTGATTAATATAGTAGTGAATGGAGCATCAAAAACAATCTCGTAGTTCTACGTTAACAATGCGGTCGTGCTTTGGAACAACCCTTAAATTTTTGCAAAAAATAAGTGTGTACACGCTATTTCTAAACAACCCCAATTTTAGTAGGATCTACTCATATTCGTCAAAAGTAGAGCTACCCAAAATTTAGTAAACAAAGTTGGGACTGAAAAGATTACGAATAGACAACATCGACCTGAATCCGAACGATGTTGCTCCTTTGTTATCTTGCCAGGTCCAACTTTGTTTACTAAATTTTGGGTAGCCCTACTTTTGACGGATATGAGTAGATCCTTCTCAAATTTGGGTTGTTTAGAAATAGCGTGTAGAGCACGGGACTGACATCAAATGTTTCCACTGTGGGATTTCACAAATTTGACAGTACCCTCTTACCCTGAGTACTGCGAACTCAGCCGATTTTATTTTTCAAGTGAGCTAGAAATCATCTTGAAAATCTTCCGAAGTTTCAAATTGTTTTGCTGAAACAGCTCACGAAATTGTATATACATGGTGATGGGAGTGCACTTGCTCACAAAGCTCACATGACTCTTATAAAGTTTGATTACATTCTTGTTTCAGCAACCCAGTTTTGGCATTATTAATATCAAATAAAAACACTTTTTCGAGCATCACGCTCGATGATTTACATTATCCGCCTACTAAGGTTGATGTTTCGACAGTTTCAGAATTATAATTCTTAATTTGTTTTCAGTAGATGGCAACACCTTTACTTGTGGTTCAAACAGTAACTACCTACGTGACTTCTGAGCTCTTTTGAATGTTTGGCTCCCGTTTGACAGTTTGACTCGGCTCCCAGATGACAAGCATTTTGAGTTAGTTCGCAGTACTCAGCTCTTAACTGGTCTGTACATTTATGGCCCATAACAAACTTGAACAACACATACCTACAAACTTTGTGGCTGTATTGCATATTTTACAGCTGTCGCTTACAACGCATGTGATTGTTTTGCGTTGGTTGTAAGCAACCGGTGGAAAATAACGATTTTAAATTTGCTCAATACTTGGCTAGCAAATCGATTAACGTACCCCATTTTAGTCGAAATTCTAGTACTACACTATGTTCGTTTTAATTCGCTATGCAAGTTTGACCGATAAAATGAGGGGTTCGTGGATTTTCCTATGTTTCGAGGTGTTACGGTGGCGAACAGAAATGAACACCGGGTTGTGAGCAGCACAAATTTTGGATAGGTGCAGCTTTAAAACTTTCGGTGCTTTCACCAGATGAAAGTTTCTGTTCGCTGGGTTATGTTTTCCACGCTATGAGAAAATTTCGTGTAGGTTTTCAATTTAGATTTACTAATTCATAGGCTAGACCAATAACTAATTTACTAATTCAAATAGATTAAGAATATAGGATTCACACTTTTCACTAGAATCACTAAGTATTAACTCAAGATTGTTTTGCTGACCGACTATCCACTTCTTCCTTTCATTTACGATGTTCCTTCTCTCTCTTCGTTCGCTCCTGTCATTCGATGACAACAGACAGTTGAACTCCGCGGTTCGGTTCGGGTGACACTACGCATCGCGACTTGAGGCAGTGATCCCAGCGCCAACATCCTCCCCCCCGTAACACTGGCCACCAGTTCCAGTTTTACCACTATCTACTATGTCCAGAATAGCTAGCTTTGCGACAGGCCTACGCAGCAGCCCCTTCGCAGTTCTTATGATAGCCTGACGGATCCTTCCGTCACCCCCAGGCACAACCTCCATCACTCGTCCCCTGATCCAGCTGTTCCTCTTGCTGTCCTCCACGATCAGCACTAGGTCGCCGGTAGCGACAGCCCTCTCATCGCCGAACCACTTTGTTCTCCTGGTCAGGGTCGGCAGCATCTCTCGAGTCCAGCGCCTCCAAAAACAGTCGAGTTGATGGTTGATCAGGTTCCAGGAATTCTTCACTGCTACCGAGCTATCGGTCGGCTCCGCTACTGGTTGTCGCACCCCAGTTGAGTTTCCTAGCAGGAAATGGTTCGGAGTCAGTGCTTCACTTTCTTCCGCGTCCAAGGGCAGGTAAGTGAGTGGACGGCTGTTGACGATCGACTCCGCTTCGATAACAAACGTATTCAGCGATTCGTCGTCGAGCTTCCGGTCACTACTGTTTGCGCCCATCATCGCTTGCTTGATCGAACGCACCATGCGTTCCCACGCTCCGCCCATGTGGGGTGAAGATGGAGGAATGAAGTACCATTTAGTTGCCGTATTAGTCACGGTCGCGGCAAGACCTTGTTGAAGCTGTCTCATCAGCACCCGCTCAGCGCCGTGGAAGTTTGTTCCGTTGTCTGTGTAGATTTCGGCTGGAGCACCACGACGACCCACGAAGCGACGGATGCTCTTGAGGCAAGCATCCGTTGACAGACTGTACACTACTTCGCAGTGCACTGCTCGAACAGTGAGGCAGGTGAAGAGCGCTATCCACCTTTTTGCGTTGCTGCGACCGACCTTCACTAACAATGGTCCAAACAAGTCCAGGCCAACGTAGGTGAATGGTCTTGCGTATGAAGCTAAGCGGGCCGGAGGAAGTGAGGCCATTCGTGGAATGTGAGGTACTGCTTTACGAATTTTGCACATTGTGCACACGTTGACGATTCTCCGGACAACTGTTCGAAGGCGGGACACATGATACCGCTGCCGTATCTCATTCACTACGGTCTCCGAATTGGCGTGTCGATACTTCCTATGATAAGCGTCTACGATCAGATCCGTCACCCGGTGATTGTTGGGCAGGATCGCTGGAAATTTCACTTCGTTGCTTACATTTCCTGCTGCTCCGATTCGCCCATCCACCCGTAGAATCCCGGTGTCGTCGATGAACGGCGTCAACTGATACAGCACACTGTGCTTGCTCAACCCTTCTGGGTGTGGTCTCGGATGATTCTGGTTGTTTGAGAGGATTGTCAGTTCTTCGCGGTAAGTCTGCCCTTGTACCATCCGAATCAAGGTCGCTTCTGCCTGTCGTAGTTCCTCTTGAGTGAGGTAGCCTGTATGCTTCGCTTCACCGTAGATCATCCGTTTCACATTTCCCACGTATCGGTGCACGTAGGCCATTGCTCGATGCATCCGCTCCAATTTGGAGAAGCGATCACAATCTATTACTACTGGGAGCACGACAGTTTCGACGTGAACGTTACAGCCACGTAATTCTTCCTCGACGACCCCTTGTGACATCTTCTGTTTCGGCCATTCTTTCTCAGGCCGTTGCAGAAACGGTGGTCCTTGGAACCAGACTCCTCCGACGTCCATGGATGGCCCGCTTCCCCATTTGGTTGCGTAATCCGCTGGATTCTGCTTCGACGGTACCCACCGCCACTCGATCACATCCGTCTGCTCCAGTATTTCACCAATCCTACAGGCCACGTACTGTTTGTACTTGCGGGGATCCCCTCTCAACCAGGCTAGCACCGTCGATGAGTCTGACCACAAATATCGCTCCGTAACTTTCACAGTATGGGATTCATGAACGGACCTCAATAATCGGGTCCCAAGCGTAGCGGCCTGCAACTCCATTCGCGGTATCGATAACGGTTTCAACGGCGCCACCTTCGTTTTCGCCATCACCAAAGCACATCTTGGTGTCCCGTCTGCATCGACTATTCGAAAATACGCCACTGCTGCATACGCCGCTTCGCTCGCGTCGACGAACACGTGTAATTGCAGCTGACGGTAGCTCTGCTCGGTGGCGTTCGGGAAATTTGTATGGTCGATATTCGCTGTAGCAGAACAGTCCAGCTCCGCCAACGTTCCCAATGTTCCTCGCTTATCTCCTGATCCCACTGTGTTCCAGCACGCCAAACATCTTGCAGCAGAATCTTGCCCTGAACCATGATGAAGCTTAACAATCCCAGCGGATCGAAAAAGCTCATTAGACACCGCAGGACTTGCCTCTTTGTGGGACGGGAGTCGCTGTCCACGATTTGCTGTATGTCGTCCTTCATCTGTGCGCAGAAGCTCAAGGCGTCTTCCTCTGTCAACCACAGCATACCAAGCACCCTGCCGTATTCCATGGTTTTATCCATAAACATATGCCTGTTGCTAGGGTCCGTAGCCTCTCCCAATCGTTGCTTTACATGGATACTATTCGTTTGCCAGTTCCGCAGCAGGAAACCTCCTTTACTATGGATTGCCTTCACTTGCTCCGCTATATCTGCTGCTTCCGCTTCGGTACCAAAGCTGTCTAGGTAATCATCGACGTAGTGATTGGATATGATTCCTTCAACGGCTCTTGGATACTCTCCGGCAAATTCTGTCGCATTTCTGTTTTTGACATATTGTGCAGGCGCTGGGGAGCAGGTTGCACCGAATGTCGCAACGTCCATGACGTAGATGTCCGGTAAAACGGTCGGATC